TTAAATTTAAGTATAATGAAAATAAATAATAAGAAATATTCATTGATATTATATAAATGCAATAAAAGAAAAAACAAAGAAAAAATATTAGTAATAAATAAAAATAATAAAATAAGTCTAATAAATGGTATGATTATTGTTTCATATCACAATAATAATTGAGATAAATGAATTAAGAAAATAGAGAATTAAGAAATGTGAAAATAAATGGAATAATAAATACAAAGACTATTACATTAATAAAAGAAATAAAAAATTGAAATTGACATTGTAAAAGAAGTGAAAATATTGTTATTAAAAATATGAAGAATATTATTAAACATTGTCTCTATAATAATCAAACATACTTTGTAAAGTTCCTATAAAAGAATTTGATTATTCTGAAATGAATAAAGAGCAAGAAAAACAATTCTATTAATAATTAATTAATTTCTTATTATATTTTATTTAAATAAAGAGAATAATTAAAAATAGAATTTTTGTTTTTTTTTGGATAATTTTTTGTTATTCTTCTCCAATTAAATTCAAACTTTCAATTGATACTAACAAAAGTCTTTCAGAAAATAAATAACAAACTTATAGTTATTGTTTTTGAAATAATAAAAAGTAATTATATAACACCACCAAATATCTCTAAACTAAATAAACTTTTCTAAATAATAATAAAGAATATAAAACTATGAATTACAATTTAGTCATTTAGAATTTTTCTTTTTTTTAAATTTCTTCAAAAGAATTTCTCGGAATTTATTTAAAATATTTTTAATTATTGATAACTTTTGTCAATAAAAGTTCTTATTAAAAATACAATTTTCATAAATAAAAATGGATTTAATCAAAATGCATTCTTAAATAAAATAATTAAATACTAAAATAAAAAAAAAAATAAAAAAAGGCATCAACTAAATTTTCTGCTCACAAAAAGATTGAAAAACTATAAATATTCAGAAGAATAATGAGTTTAGACTATAAAACTGATGCTGCTCTTCAAAAACGTTTGCACGAAGAATTAGCCCAACTTGTAACTCAAGAAGGAAATTGTGTTTGTGCTGATTGTGGTGCTACTACCCCTAAATGGAGTAGTGTTAATCTTGGCATTTTTATTTGTATAAGATGTGCTGGAATTCATCGTTCAATGGGAACTCATATTTCTAAAGTTAGATCTATTACCCTTGACTCTTGGACGGAAGATCAAGTTAATCTTGTTCGAAGAATAGGAAATAATAACGCTGCAAAAATATGGGAAAACCAATGTTCTGTTGTTAAAAGACCTGACATGGACCAACACCAATTAGAACGATTTATCAGAGACAAATATGAACATAAACGTTACTTTAACCAACAAAATTATTCTGATTTCTACAATGGCAATGCTTCACAAAAACAAAGCCAATCAATACCTCCTTCTTCAAATGTTCAACAACAAGTTCAATACTCTCAAACAACACCTTCTAGACAACTAAACTTTTTACCACCTTCAAAATATCCACAATCACCTTCTCAACAAAGAAAACAACCAGCTCAAGTGTCTCCTTCTTCTGCTTCTCCATTGTTTGATATGAATAATTCTACTCCTAAAATGTCTTCACAACAAAAACCAACTCAATACTCAAATTTATTTGACATGTTAGATGCAAAACAAAGTCCTGCTGAACCAACAATAAGTCCAGTTTCACAAAAATCTTCTCAACAATCAAAACCTTCTGACATTCTCAGTAATCTTCAAACTAAACCTCAAGTTACATCAACTAATATTTTTGACAATATTGCCCTTCAGAATCCTCAAGTACAACAATCTCAATCTCATCAATCTTATGATCTTTCACAACAAAAGAAGATTGATTATATGTCACTTTATGGAAATCCACAACAATTCCAACAACAGCCAATGATTTATCAACAAACTGTTCCTCAAGGAAGATATGATGCTTTCAGGAGTCAATATCCAATGTATCAACAACAACCTCCACAACAAGGCATTCAGTTACCACAAAGAGATTATTCTTCAATTGGAAAGTATTACATTTAATTTGGTTTTTTATTTGAGTTTATTAATTTATAATTTTAATGACTTTGTTTTATTATTAAAAAAGAAGAAAAAAGATTAAAAGAACTTGAAAACAAAACAATTTCATGAGTTTAGAAGAACAGCAAGTTGAAAATGATGAAGAGATAGATTTTAGCCTTGAGCAAGAATCAGAAGAAAAAGAAGAAAGACAGGAAAGTGAGTTGGTTAAAGAAGAAAAGATAAATAAAAATACAGAACCAATTCAAGAAACAAAAAATAAGCAACAAGAAGAATCAAAAGAAGAAGAAGGAGATTCAGAAGAAGAGCTTGAAATGAATTTTGAAACAACAATAACAGATGAAGATTTCCAAAAATTAATAGAAGAAAATAGTTCATTAAAGATGAAAATTGATGAAATGAATGAAGAGGCAAGTGTAAAAGAAACAAGAATTAAAGAGTTAGAAGATGAATTAAATAAAAGCCAAAAGACAATAGAAGATATAAGTTCTACTAAAGATAAAAATACTGCTATATTAAGAAAAGCAGCATATATGGAAGAAGAATTAAAAAAAACAAAGCAAAGAAATAATGAATTAGAAAGGAGTATTGCTATGTCTGAGAAAAAGAAACAAGAAGCAATTAAAGAAAGTGGAATCAGTAAAGAAAAAGAAGAAATTGCTACAAAGAAAACAGAAGAACTTCAAAAGAAAATAGATGAAATAGAAAAAGAAATGAATAAAATAATTACAGAGAAAGAAACAATGAAATTACAAATTGATATGAAACAAAATGAAGTAAAATATGTAAAAGAATTAAATGAAACATATCAAGGAAAAATTACTGAGTATAGAAATAAGATTGGAGAATTAGAAGAAGTTAATGGAAAATTAACAAAGAAAGTAAATGGAATGGAAAGAAAAATAGAAAAAATGGAAAAAGAAAATGAGCAAAATCAAGCTAATACAAATGAGTTAATTTATAATTTAAAAGAAGATATTAAAACTAAAGATAATATTATTATTGGACTTAAAACTGATTTAAATAATACAGATGAAAAAATAGAAGGATTAAAAAGTGAAATTAATAAAATGAAAAGTGCAAAGAAAGAAAATAAAACTGATGATATTTTTGAAATTAAAAAAGAACATCAAATTCAAGTTGAAGAAATGAAAAAACAAATTGAAGAAAGAGATAAAGGAATGAAAGAAAAGAATGATAAATGTATTGAACTTATGAAAGAAAATATTCAAATGAAAGAAAATAATGAAAAACATAAAAATAAAGAAGAAGAATTAGAAAAAGAACTAAATGAATTAAAAATTATTTCAAAAAGGTATGAAGATAAAATACAAATTATTGAAAAAGAAAATGAAAATTTGAAAAAAGAAAAAGAAGAGATAATTCAAAACCAACAAAGAAAAGAAAATATTAAAGAAAAAGAAGAATTAATAGAAAATAAACAACAAGAAATAAAAAAAGAAGAAGAAGAATTAGTAATTAAAGAAACAACATTAGAAGAAAGTATGTTACAACCAATTCAAACAACACCATTTGAACTTAAATTTGGTAAAAATAGTAATGAAGAGTCAAGAAGATTAAGAGTTGAATTAGATCAATTAGAAATGGAAAAAAAAGAATATAAAAATATGATTAATTCATTACAAACAGAAGTAAATGAATTAACAAATGAAGTTAAAAAATGGAAAGATATCGCTGTTTTAAAAGATGTTCAACAAACTCAATCAGTTCAACAATCTGATGGAAGTTGGTTTAGTTCATGGTGGAAAACTGATAAAGATGAAGTAAATATGATGAAAAAAGTAGTTGAAGAATCATTAAGAAGAAATATTGAATTACAAAATCAAATTGAAGTTCTTCAGAAACAGTTAAATGAATTAAAGTCAAAAGATATTCAAACAAAGACTGTTTTAATAGAATCTAAATGAAATTAAGTTTACTTTTAAATTTATATTTTAATTAGATAAAAAATAAAAAAAAATATAACAATTTTATTAAAATATTAATAAAAAAGTTAAAATACAGTTTTTATCATTAAGCAAGCTGATGAATAATTATATTCTTTATTATCTGTTATTTTATATAATGCTTCTGTATTTCTTTGAATTAATTGTTCATTAATTTTAATTTCTCTTTGAACATGTAATTGAAATATAGAATTAACTTGTGAATAAATAGACACAAGATATTGATTATTATTTTGAGCTTGTTGAATTGTTTTAATATAATAATTTTTAAGTAATTCATTCGTTTGAATTTGAGCTATTTGATTAAATGAATAAGTATGTTGTATCTCAATAGAATCTGTTGTAGTTTCAATTGAGTTGGTTGTTGTAATTTCAGATTTAATTGATTCATTTTCCCAGTTTTCTATAAATGGGATTGAAGTATCTTTTAATCTCCAATAACCAGAAACATGATATTCATCTTTTCCTGATTGAAAAAAACGAGAATGATTAATAGCGTCTAACATACTTTTTCTCCATCTACTTTTTCCATTAAATTGAGAAAGTTGAGAAAGAATTGACCAATGACTTTTAATAAAATCTGGAATATCACTTTTTACAGAGAAAAAAGTTTTATATGGAAATAAAGACATTAATGAAAGATAAAATATTCGAACAAGTGAAATCCACGGTATATAATTTTTTTGTAAAACAACTTTTTTCATTTTACATAATAAACAACAACAATCCATTTCTTCTTGTGGAATTTGTATTTCAATATTTGACATTTTTATGTACTAATAAAAAATATCAGTTCTTACTTACTTTGAAGTTAATAATAAGGTTTTGAATTAATTTCTTATTTCAAGCAATATTTTTAATTTATTTAAAACATTAAAATTGATTAGTATTATTATTATAATTCTAAATAATTTGAATTTTAATTAATTAGTTGTAGTTTTGATTTGAAAAAAAATTGAAATTGAATTGAAATTATTTAAATTTTTCTTTTTCTTCAATTAAAGTATTAAAGTTGTAAGTAGTACTTTATAATAATTTTGAAATAATTTACCTCTAGACACTTGTTTTGTACAAAACTAGATTTTTGGGGTATTTTAATGGACAAAATAGAATTAAAAAAATTAAAAATTCCTAAAAAATGTTAAATTTTTTGAAAATCAAATTATTAATTTGTTTTTTATTTTTATGAATAACACATTATTGCATAAAAACAATAATTTGAATTTTAAAAAATATATTTATGACATATATAACATTAAAAAAAAAATTAATAAGAAAAAAGTAAATTTAATCGAACATAGAAACTTCGAGTTCTACTCCTGGTTCGATCTTGAGAGAAGTCTAAAAGAAGATAAATATTTGTAATGACTTATTTAAATAAAATAATTAACAAACAATTTCTTTAATAAGTTCTGGAGTAGTTTTCAATGTTAATACTCTCTTGTAAATTCTCATTTGGAAATGATCCCAAGTCTTTGAACCTTCACCACATGGTGTCTTTCTTGTGGTAATTCTTAAAGTTTTAGTTGGAATTCTAACTGGACCTTTGACTTGAACTCCCTTTTTCTTTCCATTTTGTTTTACTTCAGTACAAAGTGCTTCAACTGCTTTAACCTTAGTTGAAGTAATTGTGATGGTAATGTTCTTTACAACTACTGGAGTGACTGGAGCTTTAATATCTTTCTTGATGTCAGCCATTACTTCGGTCCGATGATATTTTTTAAGATTTTTAGGGTTGTCCTGGTTTTTCTTTTTTTTTGGTATTTATAAATAATATTTTTAATTAAATTTTATAGTTTTATTTATTATTAATTTTTTCTTTTTATGAAATATTTAAATTTTTGTTATAATGGGAAAGAGAGTTATTAAATTTCTGCTTTTTTCTTTTCTTCTCACTTTATCAAAAAGAATATCAGGAAATCTTTAAAAATGAAATGAAAAAGAGTGCAGAAAAACGACAATATTACATCCATCTTGTTGAATGTAGAAATGTTCCTACAGATGATTGTGAAGTGATGTTAAAATGGAAACGTGGAAAAAAACAAATTAACAAAGGTGTTTTAAAACAATTAAACTGTGTAAATGGAATTGTTAAAGGAAATCAGTTTGGAGTAATTATGCCGCAATGCACATTATTTAGAAATTCTAATGGCTATGAAGAGAAATTAATTAAATTGTCATTAACTAAATTCAAAGATGACAAAAAGAAAAAACAAAATGTGATTGGGTATTGTTATATTAATCTTGCTGAATATGTAGATTTTTCTACTAGACAAAATGTTACTTTTCCTATGAAATCTAAGAAAGGTAAATCATTTGACTGTGAAATTGATATACAGTGCCTAGGTGGAGTAGAAGTTTCTGAAGCTGATAAAACTGAAATATTTTCTGCCTCTAAATCAACAAATCCTTTTGGAGAAGAGAGTGATGAAGAGATTAGTGATGAAGTTATAAATCCAAAAAAAAAGTCTAAAGAATTGGACAGAAATAATAAGTCCACTTCAACATTAAGAAAAAATGAAATACCTCAGAAACAAGTAAATACCACTAACCCATTTGATGACATTAACACTCCTAAAAATGATTTAACTAATAAAAAATCAACAACTCAGTCTGTGATAGTCACATCCTCAAACAATCCATTTAGTGAAAATAGTAGTGATAATTTTGAACAACAACCAACAACTGTTTCTCAAACTAATCCCTTTGGTGATGATGTTAGTGATGAAGCTACTAAGATGGATCATCCAACAACTGCTATATCAATTGAAACAAACACAAATCCATTTAGTGAAGATAATGAAATTGTAGATAATAATTCAAAAACAGCAGTAGTAGTTACAGACAATTCAGCAATATCACAAAAAACACTTAGTACAAACCCATTCAGTGATAGTAGTGAAAATGATGATAATAATCAACAAAATGAGGAGCCTTTAGGCATTGCAATAAAAACTTCTACTACAAATCCATTTAGTGATGATAGTGACGATGAGAAACAAAAAATACAAAATGTTACAGAGGTACATCAGTCAAATCCATTTATTGATGAAAGTGATGAACAAGTAGAGGAGCATAGAAATCCTTTTGGTGATGAAAGTGAAGTTATTGCGCATGTCCAATGTAAAGAAAGTCATTCCTCTAGTGAAAAAAGTGATGGGGTTGTTGAAATGGCTGAAGGAACAAACCCATTTGGAGAAGATAACAGTGATGTTATTTCAGAGGAAGAACCAAATCAAATAGAAACAAATTTACAAGTTGGTACTGAAGATAAAACAAATAGTTCAGAAGATTTAGATGGTAATATATTTGTTTCTACAAGAACAAAAGAAGACTCTCCAGAAGTTAATTTAATAAAACCTAAAGAAGACTTAGTTCCAATAATTCAATATAAAAAGAATTCAGGATCTATTGATTTGAGAGAGGTATTTGATTCAGTTAATAATCTTAAAGGTAACCTAGATGATTTGGATAGTTTTATTATACTAATGAAGAAGTGGTGGTGTGATGGACAACCCCATATTGAATTAAATGTTCTTCCAATGATAATGGATGATTATAAACAATGTGTGTGGTTGTTAATTGGAATGAAAGATCTTGGAGGTAAAATCAGAAAGCCAGGTACCAAAATGTCTCAGCGTGATATTCAAATTAATGAAATATATGAAAGTACATTCGTTCGTGCAGTTAAGCTAATTTCTGCTAGAATAGAAGGAATTTTAGATTATTTAATAAGTGTCACAATGTTTGACTCAAAAAGGTCAACATTTGAAGAAGGGGTTGCAAATGGAACAGCAGAGATTATGAATGACATATTTGAATCAGTTTCAAAGAATGATCAATCTATTGCTGATAGACTATTGAAACAAATATGTCATTTCATTTGTTATTATATCATAGAAGAAATGTTGAAGAGAAATAAAATCAATGGAATGAAAGGATTCCAAATGAATTATTTTGTTTCTTGTATTCAAAGCCAAGTGTTTAAGAAATATATTTCTTTAAAAAAGTATATGAAATGTCTTGATCCATTATTGGAGTTTTGTAGATTATTGACAATGCCAATGAGTTTAGAAATAGTTCAAATGAAGGATGAAGTATTTCCTTCATTATCTGTTTCACTTATTAGTAAAACTTTACGTTCTTTTAGATTAGATAGTTACAATTTAAATAGGGTTCCACAACGTGTGTTTGATTATCTATTTGAACATCCTGATGGTAAAAATATATTATCCCGCTATGATATTCTTAAGTAATTGTGTTTTTCTTTCATTCTTTTTTCCCGTTTTTATTCTTTTTTTGAAAACGGGAAGAATTTAATTATATTTTCTTGACTTGAGTAGAGAATTTAAACCATCTAAAGAAATCAAGAAATCATTAATTCATTTATGCAATCAGTTAAGTGTGTTATTGTTGGTGATGGTGCAGTTGGAAAAACTTGTCTTCTTGTTTCATACACTACTAATGCTTTTCCAACAGAATATGTACCAACTGTGTTTGATAATTATTCTGCAACTGTTATGGTTGATTCTAAACCAATTAACCTTGGCCTTTGGGATACTGCTGGACAAGAAGATTATGACAGAATTCGTCCATTGTCATACCCACAAACAGATGTCTTTTTGTTATGTTTCTCTGTTGTTTCACCACCTTCATTTGAAAATATTTCATCTAAATGGAAACCAGAGGTTTCTCATCATTGTCCAAACACTCCATGTTTATTGATTGGTACCAAAATTGATATTAGAGATGAACAAACACAAAAAAACAAAACATGCGACAAGAAAATTGAACCTATAACACTTGAACAAGGTGAAGCAAAATGTAAAGATATTGGAGCTCTTAAATATATAGAGTGTTCAGCATTAACTCAAAAGAATTTAAGATATGTTTTTGATGAAGCCGTTCGTGCAGTAATTAACACCACTAAAAAAGAGAAGATAAAGAGAAAAAGTTGTCTTATTTTTTAAAGTCAATTGAAGTGTTTTTTTTTATTCTTTAATCAATAGTCATATATTTTTCTGGACTTATTTCTTTTTTCATATTATTTTCAATATAACTGAGCATCCAATTTGCCATAATTAAATACTCATTCTCAACAAACCCTTCAAATTGAATAATATTCTTTAAATTTTCAAGACTATTATTATGTTTTCTTTCAAGCATTATTCTTTCTTTTAAATGTTCAACAAATGGAGTAAATTGGTAATATGAAACTCCCATAAACTTTCCATATTTTTGGGTAATTTGTTCATTATCTTTAAGCTTTTTCCATAAACAAAATTTCATCTTTTCTGCATGGATAATATATTCTATAAATTCTTCTAATTCACTTAAATTTAGAGAGTCAATTCTTTTAATAATACTAAGGAAGATAGTAGTGGTTTTATGGTATAATTTACATTGTTCATAAAAAGAAGTTGTAATAATTTCTTCAAAATTTATTGTTGATGTTGTTGTTAATGAATCAATTTTCATCAAACAATCCCAACTTTGAATTATTAATTCAAAATATAAAAGTACTTTTGGAGTATAATCATACATATTTGAATTATTCATATGAAATTGGTTATAAATAATAACTAAATAATCAAGGTATTTACTAAATGAAATAAAGATAGTATCATCTTTATTACATTTAACTGTTGAAAACCTAAATTTCTTTTTTAAAATAAGTTCTGCTATGTCTTCAGTTTTTTTAGAATTTAATGACCAAAAGATAAGTATTAATAATTTTATTTGTTGTCTTTTATTAAGTTTTCTTGTTTTTAAACTTGAAATAATATTTTTAATTATTTGGTTGTCATCATCTTGTTCTATTAAACACACAAAATCTTCTTTTGATACCTTTTTATATTGAATTGAATCAATAAGAGTTTTTACTTGAGATATTTTACCCATTCACAACTTATTTCATTATTTCTCAAAAAGAAATATTTATAATAACCTATAATCACTTTTTATATCAAAAATTGACTTTATAGTTGAGTTTTTATTTTAAAATTTTGAAATTCACAAAATTTTATGGTTCAATTACGCATTGAAACTGTCTTAATAACTTAACTAAAGGAAGTGGAATTTCTTCTTCTTTGCTTTTACAATATTTTAAAGTTTTCATACACAAATTTACTAATGGAGTCTCTACGTCTAAACTTGTCAATATATAAAAAAATGAAAATAAAGTTAATAACAAACTTTGACTCATTAAATAAACTAGACAATTGTACAACATTTGTCCATCAACTTTATTTCCTATCATAGACTCATACTCTGGCATATGGCTAATATACAATGAAGTATATTTAGTTGTTACTTTATTTGTAATGATACATTTTCCATCAAGTGTCTCTGCTAATATTTTCACATCACTTTTCAGACCTTTGACTTGGTCATTTTCTATCCACACTCCATTTTTTGGGACTTGTGAACTTGAATATCCTTTACTTGTGTATGGCTGCATGATGTTTTTCCATAACAATGGATTTTGATAATTAATGAGATACGTTGGGTCATGAGGCATCTTAGATGTTACTAGTTGTATTTCTGGAATAATTCCAAAATATTTACATAAGCCACGATTATCGTATTCATGAACTCTCCCTTGTGGTCCTTCTTTATGATAAAAGACTGCATACGTTCCTAACAAATGCTTATTACAATTTTCATTTAAATAACTTTCAATACTATCCAATTCTTCTAGTTTAAATTGATAAGGAGCACCAGCACAGTCTCCAAAAACAAGAATATCTGGATTTTCACTTTCAAGAATTTCTTTTGTAATGTTTCTAACGTTCAGCCTTTTATTATTTAATAAAATAGAAATAAAAACAAACTTTTTGAAAGACATATTTATTTGAATATTACCAAATTCTTTCCAATGTTGAGAAATATAATCCCAAGTTCTATAACCACCAGAATGAGAGTGTATTACCATGACATTAATAATATGTTCCATTGTTTAAAGAGTTAATCATCTTTTTCTGTATATTATTTATATTGTAGTGTCTTTTCATTTAAAAAAATCTTAGAAGATTATCTTTTATTCATTAAATCACAAGTCAATTAAAAATTATTGATCGATGAAGAATTATGACAGCAACTACCATAGTAACAATACTAATTCCAACAAGTACATATAAAACATAGATTGTAATAGACCTTAAATGATTTTCATTTTTAGGTCGTATGTTTGGCTCCACAGATGAAGAGTCTTCTACTACTAAACTCTCTTCAGACTGACGGCTATTTAAGCTTTGACTTCCACTGGATGCCTCAGTACTACTTTCAGTATTACTTGAAGACTCGTTTGCTTCTGCAGACTCATTGTATAGACGTTGAGGGACATCAGTATTATTTCTAAACTCACCATATGGTCCATACTCTACATCAGAGAAATCTACATGAAGAACTACTGAAACAGGAACATCTCCTCCATCATTCCCACCAATACCACATAAAGAATCTGCTCCAAGTTTAATATAGCCTCCAAGACCCCAATTTTTACCCCATGAATTTCTGACAACAACATACTCAATACCATCTTCAATACCATATCCAACAATTCCAACAACGTGAGTTGTGACAACTCCTTTTTCACAATTAAGACCTCTTAATATTCCTCCACGATATGCAGTCCAGTATTTAGGATAAACACATGTAACAAATCCACCATAATGATGAACAATTCGTTTAATAATATTAATGTCTTCTGCAGAATCGAAAATAGTATAACTGAGTTTAATTGGTGTTCTTTTTCCTTTAACACAAGCCTTTCTTTTTGATGGTTCTCTACCTGAATAATAAGGATAATCATCTATTGTAGAAACGTAATGTGAAAAGTCTAATACACTATCAGCATATCCTCCAGCACAACGATATCCTCCAACTTCACAGTCAAGAAGTTGTTGAGGACTAAACATTGTGTATTGAGGCTTTCCATCTCTTAAATAAGTGAGATTAGCCCATTTTAATTGAAGAGCAAGAGCATTACTTACACAATAACATGACCCACAAGATTGTTGATCAAACTCAATCCCATTGCAAAAATCAATTTCTCCAGGATTTAACTTTCCAAAAAGCGTTTTTTGATTACAAGCAGAATAATTAATGGGAACAGGACCTTTTGGATACGGAATAGTAATATTAATCGTATCATGTAATTCTTTCGCATTACTTCTTTTAGGCTTTTTCATTAACATTAAATCTTCAAACTCTTGATTAGATAAATCACTCCATTGATTTAAATCAAAATAAGCGTCAACATCTTTTTCTCTTCTTTGGTTTAACATTTTAATTTCCATTAAATTTTTCATAAAAATTATTTTTCGATGAATTTCATTAATATTATTATATGTCTTTCCATATTTTATTTTCCATTCTTCCCAAAGTTTATTCTCATTTCCTTTTAAATATTCTAATTTTGGAATTACTTTGAGTGAAAAAGAACATATAACCAATGAAACAATAACAATCAAATGGCTCATTGACTAATACTTTTTCGACTTTTTTTTTTTTGAGTTCATACTTTTTTAACTTTTTGCTTTTTACTAATAAACTTATTCTTTTTCTTGTTTCTTAATCAAAAAAATTCAATTTAAATGAACATAAAGACCTAAAAAACCTATTTGGGTTGCTCTTCTTTTCCACAAACTTCTTCTTTTAATTCCCTTACACTTTTTCTAGAATACTTATCGAGTGCTTTTTTAAGTTCATCAATATAAATGACAAATTGTTCATTATCTTTATAAAGATTATCAATCTCAAGATGTAAATCTTCTATAATCTTTTCTCTATCACTCAGTGCAGTTTTATACTCAATGATTTCTGTGTCCAAATCATTAATTTTTTGTTTGAACTCTTTTTCAACATATCTAGTAGCATCGAGTTTTAAAGCATCTCTTTCTTTAATTAATTCCTCTTTAGTTTCTGTAACTTCCCTTAGTTGTTTAGAAATAATAGTTATCTCATCTGTCTTTTCCATAATAATTCGATTTAACTCCTCAGTTTTATCTTCTGTTGGTTGTAATTTTTCAATTTTATCTTTTAATTCATCATTTTCTAATTGAAGTGTTTCAATTTTTGCGTTATTTTGAGCAAGTTTTTTCCATTTTTCAATCTCTGTTTTCATGGCATCACTAACAATTTTACTATTTCCTTTTCTTAATCCTAAAATTTGTTTTTGTAACGCATCAACAGTTTTTTTGAATGTTTCTTCATTCTGAAGCCATCTTGAAACAATATCATCTTTCTTCTTTAATTTTTCTTCTAAATCTCTCTTTTCATCTCTAAGTATTCTTTCTTGATCCATTTTAGCAAATACTGTATATTCTAAATGTCTTATTTGTGATTTTGCTTTCTCAAGTTTGTCAGCCCCAATTATAATTCCATTTCCTCGTTTAAGTTGTTCATTTTCTAATCTTAGTCGTTCAATCTCTTCTTTCATTTCATCAGGTGTTCCTGTATAAACAGCATTTCTTTTAATAATACATTTTATATTACGTGATGAAAAACAAAATTTAATAGTAGAAGATGTTTCTTTAATACTTGATAATGAAGGTGAAACAGTTCCAATAATAACTGTTTTACAATTACCACCTAATGAATCTTTTAACATAAATGTTAATCTACTATCCCTATAAGGAATAAACACATCTGACTTACCAGTACTTGCTTGAACTAATCCATGAATAACTCTTCCAAATACAACAAGAGAACGATTAATATTTGCTGCTTCTTTTAATAGTTTTCCTTTTGCTCCAGTATTTGATTGACGTTCAGACCCAGCTAAATCAACAAACGTTAATTTACTTGTTGATTCAACTTTTTTTCCAATTCCATTTTCTAACTTTGATATAAATACAGTGAATATACAATGTGAACGAGATGATCTATCATTTGATAATGTCGCACTTGTGTGTCTTAATGTAAATCCTTTTTGGATAATTTCCCATGCTTCTTCCCAAGAAGTAATAACAATTTGTTCATTTGATAAATCATTTTTTCGTTTTCGCTTATCATCATCACCAGAAACAGCTACCATACTCAGTTCTGTTTTAATTTTATTTTTATCAATTAAGTCAATTACTTGTTCATTATAAATTTCTTGCATTGAACATGTCATTGAATAAATAATTCCACTTCCTGTATCCATTTGAGCATTTACCTTTTCAAACAAATATTTTAATGATCGGGGTATAATTCCTTGTTCTTCTTCAACGTCACAATTTCCTAAATTATAAATACTTGAAAAATAAGTAATAAAATCAAATTATTCCTTTTAAAAAATAATCAAAAATAATACAAACCAAATGTAGTAAACGTTTTTCCTGAACCTGTTTGCCCGTAAGCAAATAAAGTTGAATTATATCCGTTTAATGCTGTTTCAACAAGAGGAATTCCTATTTGAGTGAAGACATCTTTTTGTGATGTTTTTTGATCAGCAACATAATCAAAATTAAAACTTTCTCCTTTTAACTCTTCAGAAAAATAAACCAAAGTCTTGTCATTTTCTGCTTTAATACAGACATCATTGACTTCTCGTTCATTTTGTGGTCTAATTCTAATAGCAACTGAGACAGAACTGTTCATCACTCAATTATTAAGTAAATAAGAGTTTTTTCACTTTTTTCCTTTTAATAAAAATTTATAATTATTTACTATTTTATTATAAGAAAATATGATAGAGAATAGTTAATAAGAAAATACTGTTTTAAATTATCATGGCTCTTCATAAATAATTATGCTCAAAGATGCCTTTATATTGAGCAGTTCCATCCATTCTCATAAATATCATTTGACAAACTCTCTCTCCTGGATACAAACGGATTATTCTCTATATATATAAATTACATTTCTTTTTTTTTAGTAAAAAGAGAATAAACAAACATTTGATGAATTATATATTTCTAAAACTTGTCTATTTGAAATTCCTGGATTCATAAATGATGCAGTAATATGAACAAAAAGTCCTAATCGAGCAAATCTTGATCTTCCTTCTAATAATCCACAAATTCCATTACTCAATGAAACAGTCTCCCTTGTAATACCAAGACAAGTGGTGTGTGGTTGGACTTCAAAGTACTCTCCATCTTTGATTGTAATAACATCTGTTTCCTCTCTATAATTGGTAGATTCTTTAATGTCCATTGGACAATCTTTATTTTTAAATATTCTAAATTCATTATCAAGACTTAAATCAACACTTGCTGGTCCAACAGCATTTTCATTTAATGGAGTGATAACAATCTCTTTTGTTTGAAAAGCTTTTAAGATAGCGTCATGACTTAGTACTGACATGTTAAAAGCTTCTAGAAAATTTTAGAAATACTTTATATATAGATAAGGGTTTTCTTCGTTTACTATTAACCCTAATATTTTATCAAATGTTATATATGACATTAAAAAAAGAAAGAAAAAATAAAACTGAATTTAAACCAAAAAAGAATTATTTTAGATGCTCACTTCTAAAAGAGGTGGACTTGTTTATGATAAAGAAGCTAATTTTAATGAACCTATGATGAGAAATTGCGTTGGAATTAGTCATTTTTTTGTATTCGATGTATTTGATAAAGCATTATGTTTCTTAGATAAAGTTGTTCAAATAGGATGTTATGGAGATGCAGCAACATCACAAGAAAAACATAAAATTTGGGTAAAAAGAATTTGTAGTAATAATGAGTATAATAAAGGGAAAGAAAAAACAAGTAAAGTAGGTTGTGGTGCACATGCTTTTGTCAGAGAAGTACAATTACGAACAATAATTCATGGGACAATATTTAAAAAAGAACAAGTTATTTTCAACTTTGACAATAATATTTATTCAACTCATAAAGTTTCATTTCTTCCTTTATTTGAGCCTAAAATGTTTAGTTCAAAGTATCAAATTGTTATGAAAAAAAAAGTGGTTCTTGTTACTATTGGAGAAGGACATTCTGCAGCCTGTAAACAACAAATGCAAATGAACTGTTTCCAATTAAAACATAAAAAAGAAAAACAACCAAAAGACCTTAATGAAAAAGGTGAAACTTCAATTCAGTCAATAAATCCTCCTTTACAATCACCTTTTGTTATTTGTCAACAACCATTTCTTCAGTCTGATTCAAAACAAGAAGAACTTCATGATAATAGTAAATGTGCATTTACTCAAGGAGTAGTTAATTATGATGGTCGATATTATTTTATGTGCAATGAAGATGAAATGGCTAGAAAATATCTTAGTCGTATTGATTCATTAACAAAAGAAGTTCTTGCAGATATTGAGAATAATCCTTATGATCAACGCCTTCAATTATTTATTCAACTAATTCAAAATACTAAAAAGGCATTTGTCCAATAAAATATGAATTCAAGAATAAATAAGAAGGTTATGACTTTGTCTCTTAGTGTTAGAGTCTTGTCTCTCATTTTCTATAGTTTAATGATTTTTGATTTATATTTTTTTTTAATATTTTTTTCTAAAAAGTCATAAAAGGATAAACTATTTGAAAAATAAATCTGTTATCTTACAATCTTCATTTTTACATTTCATGGGTGGATCTTCTTCAAAACAAACATCTTCTAAACAATCAACAAAAAGTAATACCTCTGTTAAAACGGCTGATACTAGAAAAATGATTCCAGATAATTACCAAACAATGGAAGAACTTCAACAAGGACTAAGAGAAGCTGGTTTGGAAAGTTCCAATTTGATCCTGGGAATAGACTATACTAAATCAAACACATGGACTGGACAACATTCTTTTGGTGGTCAATGTCTTCATACTATTAATCCACAAGATCCAATATTTAATCCATACCAAAAAGTCATTGATATTATTGGAAGAACCTTAGATCCTTTTGATGATGACCATTTAATTCCAGTTTATGGATTTGGAGATATAACAACAACAAATAAATCAATATTTTCATTTTTACCAAATGATGCACCTTGTAATGGATTTGGTCATGTTTTGCAACGATACAATGAAATTACTCCAAGTGTTCAAATGTCTGGTCCAACTAACTTTGCTCCATTAATTAATAAAGCTATTGATATAGTTCGTAAAACTCAAGCATATCATATTCTAGTTATTATTGCAGATGGTCAAGTTGATAATGAAAAAGCAACTAAAGCAGCAATAGAACAAGCTTCTAATTATCCTATTTCAATAATTTGTATTGGAGTAGGAGATGGACCATTTGATAAAATGGAGACTTTTGACGATGAGTTAGGTAACTCCAAGTTTGATAATTTCAATTTTGTTAATTTTAATAAAGTTATTGGACCAAGAGTAGAAAATCCTGACATTGCATTTGCTGTTGCTGCTCTTCAAGAAGTTCCTATTCAATACATGTGTTGTAAGAAATTAGGATATTTCTAATTTATTAAGTTTATTTTATATTTTTGGTTTGGACTTGAAGGTTGCATGTCAGAAACAATACACAAACTTTAAAATAAAACAATACTTCAATAGTCAGTTATTGTCTAGTTTTGACATTGCTTTTTTAGAAAAAACATCTTACTCAATATTCCATAGATTGTAGTGATTAATATTTATGGTGGAATATCATTTGTTATAATAGAAGAATATGTATGTATAACAATGGTAGTATTATTTCCTTATTGAAAGACAAGAATATTTGATAATGATGGAATTTAATATATTGTGTATTATAAAAGAAAAATGACATTTATGTTGTTGATGATAAATGAAATTCTTCAGAATAATATAATGATAATAATATGTTCTGTCATCATAAAATAATAAGGTGAAGAAAGAGGAGTTTTAACACATGACAAAAATCAAAAAAAAGGTGGGATAGTTATTTAAATGAGAAACAATAAGATGACGAAGCATGAAACACTTTAATTCAATCTAAATAAAGGAATAAAGAATAGAAAAATATCCTTCTCAATATGTAAAAAAATTAAAGAAGTTAAAGAATAAATGAATGGTTGATAAACAAACAACATTAAAGCAGAAAATTATGATTAGTCTCTGATGAACAAGAAGAATAGCAAATAAATTTAGTAACATTTAATTAACTACTTTTTATTTATTAATAATAAAATTAGTTTATGCTTAATTCATTCTTAACACACTGTGTTTATGGTTTATACAACATTTTCAATCATTTCATTATTTGTTTTTTGTTAATTACTGTTTATTTATTGTATAATAGATAAGTTATATTTTCTTGTAATAATAGACATTCCATTTCACTTCCACCAAGTAAAAGA